AATAATAATAATAATGAACGGCTATATACCAGAGACATTCAAAAACATTGGGGGGTAGGGAAATACACTGGACTATGGTGATGACACACAGGTGATTTGGTGATGGGAAGCCCATGGAGATTATATTACGTTAAAAAAAATGCTGCAATGATGAATGCCGTTACAAAGATGTCTTCTGAATAATCATGTTGATGGTGTGAACATACTCCAACCAGATTCATAGAAAGCTTATTCTAATCTGGGATAATTATTTCGAAAAGAATAATTTTTCTTATAGCTGAGGTTTAGATTCAAGTTTCTTACAAAGTTATGACTTTATAATTTTTCCTTTCACTTCCAACATTAACATATTGGAATTCAGGTTCAGTTTTAGGAATTCTCTTCAGTGTTCTGAAGCCATATTGTCTAGGGCCAGTGTTGGCCAGCCCTGAGAACCTGAGTACAGCAGCCATACGTTTCTACCATGGGAAAATTTAGAGTGTTTGGTAATATCTAGCTTGAGAAGACTGCTTTATATTTTCTCATAGTTCCAGAGGTTTCATGGTTTTAAAGAAATCAGTGTCCTATGGTTGCTAAGTACCAGCAGTAATGCATGTTTGGGACATTAAAGATATGTTCCATCAAGTCCAAGATTACTCTCCCCCTTGTCACAGACTCCAAAATAGGTAACAGCCTTATTCCCTGATAAAAAATCATACCAAAAAACCCACAAACTTTTATTGGGGTGCAGTGGGGAATGAGTCAAAAACAGTGGTGGGAGGGGAATAAAAAACTGTTACGAGTTTTATGTTTAGTGGCATTAACCAGACTAGTGAGGTTAAACTGGGAGAAGTGTTGATCAGATAGTGGAATGTCAATTGAATGCCATGTTATGTACTTTTACCTTTTAGTGAATATCTTGCAGTTTTTAAGAAGACTGTATCCTCCCATGAAGTCTTTCTTCAACGCCTGTCTTCTCATCCTGTTCTCAGTAAAGACCGCAACTTTCATGTTTTTCTGGGATATGATCAGGATGTAAGACATTTTTTATTTGCATGATCTAGTTAAAATATACAAGGCTATCCATTTTAAATACTTGTAATTTTTTGATGGACTTAAATTTCTGAATTTTAACAATAGAAATATTAAAATGGCCTTTTCCATAGATCCATTGTGTTAAAACTTGTGCTCAAAGATTTTGACCATTTTCCCTATAAAGTTGTCTCCCGCCATTCAATTTGAAATTGTTAGAAGGAATTTAAATTCATTGAAACTTGGAGCATTTTCTTAGCATGCTCATCTTGTTGCTTGCATGTATGAGATAAGCCATGGCTTAGATGCTTTTTCTTCTGCTTCTAATTCATGAAGTCTAATAAGCAACATATGGGAAAAAAGATAATTTTACAGGCCACACTACGGTGTGCATGATTGATCTTTAGAAGAAGCTAGGAAATATATATGCTATACTATTAAGTTTTTATTTTGAATTCTCTTCCTTTAGCTAAGTGTTAGGCGGAAAAATACCAAAGAGGTGTTTGGTGGCTTTTTCAAAAGTGTGGTGAAAAGTGCTGATGAAGTTCTTTTTTCTGGAGTTAAGGTGAGTGGCTTTCCTCTCTTTAAAAAGTATACCTTCATGCAAATAGATGACCTTTTGTTTCTTTGGAAGAGATACATGTGAAACATGGTGGTCAGTTTCTCAGGAGTATAGTTTTTCAGGTTTGGGTTATATTTAGCTACACACTGAATTTTTATTTTCCCACATATAAGTCTTTATTTTTTGCCTTGTCTAAAGGACAGAAGTCACTCAATTTAAAAAGAAAATAAGACACAAAAATGAATGTTACGCTGTATTCCCGAATAACTGTTCTTTATGTTTTCTCTAGTCATGTGGCATTTGAGCACTTGACTTATAATTAACTGGCACAATTAAGAAAAAAAACTTTATTTGCTTGCTAAGATTTCATGGACTTTATTTCACTTCAGGTGTCCTGCTTTCACATTTTTATGTGTGCAGTGATAACAATATATATTAAGTAAGAAAATAATTTCACCTGTTATTGCAATGAGGCTACTAAAAATTTTTAAATCAAACATATGGCTCACATATTTCTACTGGATAGTGCTGTTGTATAAAATCTAATTGACACACAAGTCTCATTTCCTTGTAGGTGTGATTTTTCTTCACTTTTCAGCTCTGAGACCCCTCTTTAGCTGAGTTACCTTAATGGTTACCACCTAGTATGTCTTGATTTAGCCGCTGAAGATTTGAGTAAAAAGTCTAGAATATGTGTTTAAACTTGAAAACTTATGTCAGACACATTTTTTTTTTAAAGATTTGATGCATGCAAGAGCTGGGGTGTAGGCCATAGTTGCACAGGTGAGAGGATTCACCAGACACAGAGTGGAAAACAGAACAGGCAGATTGGCCAAAATACACTCAAGGGGAACAGTAGGTGAGACAGGAGCGGTCTGCTGTGCCATGCAGGTCACCTTGGCTGAGAATTGAACTAAATTCATAGTTCTGACTTCACCCCTTGTGCCACGAGGGAGGCCCCTTTGACTCACTTTCGAGGTGTGTGTGGGACTGTCTTGGATCCACTCATTGTAATATCCCTCATTAGTACCTACCAGATGTCAGTGTGCCTCCTATTCTCAGCCAGGCAGCACTCTACCACATTGTACCACTGGCCTGTCAAGAGAATTGCTGGATTTCAGAGGACGATACCAGAGTTTTGACATTTCCTGCCATCACTTAATTTTGTTTATCTTGGTTATGAAATGGTGTCTTGTCAGTTTGCATTTCCCTAGTCTGTAGAGTTTCTGTCTTAGGTTTTCCTAATGCACTTGTGTCTGTGTCCTAATGCAGAGCAGATAATTGTATTCTTAAACGTTTTGCTTCTTAATTTTCTATTTTCCTCCCACTTAGGAGGTAGATGACTTCTTTGAGCAAGAGAAGAATTTCCTCATCAACTATTACAATCGGATCAAGGATTCTTGCACAAAAGCTGACAAAATGACCAGATCTCATAAAAGTAAATACCATTCATCCATTAGTGATTTAGCTTTGCTAATTGGCCACCCCTATTCATATAAAAAGGGCTGTCCTTGTTTCTGTAGATGTTGCAGATGACTATATCCACACCGCAGCCTGCCTCCATAGCCTGGCTTTAGAAGAACCCACAGTCATCAAAAAGTAAGTTTTTCTTGGAAAAGCATTGCTGTCTAACTTTTGGTGATATATAGTGTCAGTTCTCTCCTGCAATATAGGCTCATTTGAAGTAAGCAGTAGTTTACAGTAGCAAATATATCTCTCTCTCCCTACAAGTTCACAAGTGGCATAGAAGAGACTATACCAAGCGTGGTATCTGTTGTGTTTAAGCATTTTTGTTATGAGATAGTATTTCACTTAACACCTAGGTTTGGTGTAATACCTCTGAGGCAGTATTTTCTTTTTAGATTCATTTATTTATGTGTACAGAACTGGGCTACATGCCAGAGGTACAGGGGCGGTGAGAGGATTCGCCAGAAAGCAGAAAAGGCAGATGACAAAGTACATTGCTGAGGGGAACAGCAGGTGAGACAGGAGAGGTCTGCCATGCCACGTGGGTTACTTCTCTGGCCAGGGATTGAACTCATGCTGAAAAGGCTGTGGCTAGCTTCAAAGTGCTGCACTCAACCCATTGCACCACCAAGGATGTCCATAGTATGGCATGCTATAAATTTCCTTATGAGCATCTACTTATGGATTATGACAAAAGCATTTAAATGGATAAGTCTAGAACTTGTGAGACTAGAACTTCTTACTCATTCATGTTTTACAATGTTAAGGTTATATTTCATATATAACAAAGACCATAAATCATTGTATTTTCAGGTACCTGTTGAAGGTTGCTGAGTTATTCGAAAAACTTAGGGTAAGGATTTTAATGATTTTTGGTAATATATATTTTATAATGTGTCGATTTCTGCTTAGATGATGGCCTTTATTTTTTTAATAGAAAGTAGAAAGCAGAGTGTCCTCAGATGAAGATCTAAAGCTGACAGAGCTTCTCCGATACTACATGCTCAACATAGAGGCTGCCAAGGTAAGACAGGAGTCCTCAGCTACTCATAGTGCAAGATCACTTTGCTGTGACTTGAGAGCACCTCTCACTTTAAAGGTGTATTTTTGTTAAAAATGAACAACAGAAATACGAGCATTTTTTTGTGTTACATCCTTAGTTGTGTTTGCATAGGAGCTGTATGAATGTTGTTGAGTAAACAGTAGTTTGGGAGGGGGGCCTATAGGTTATTGATTGGGTACAAGACTCACCAAAAATATGTCCAAAGGGGCTGTTTCTAGCGCAAAAGAGGTTTTGGGGGGGGGGGGGTTGTGAGTTTTATTTTAAATTGTACTTAGTGCTATAGCCTTAGCCAAACCATTACTTAACCCAAAACCAAAGTAAAGTAATGAGAGTGACTTACAAATGGAGCATACATTTTTTTTCTGTTTGCACTGCTCCAACAAATATTTATTACTTCTATGTGAAATGTACTAAATCATACAAAACTTGTTTTGGGTGTATATAAAATTTGACATTGCATATTTGTGTTTATGCATATAATTGGGGTGTAGGCCAGAGGTTGGGGAGGTAGTGAGAGGATTCACTAGACACAGTGGGGAGCAGAACAGGCCAGTTTACTGAAATACACTGCTGCACCATATGTGGCCAGGGGTTGAACCCAGGCCACAGTGGCTGGCCATAGCTTGATAGTTTTATCCTGCACCACCAGGGAGGCCCCATAATTGTGTAGTTGAAGTTCATGTCATGTTTTTTAACATAAGTGCTCATTTAAATACTGTGGTAACTTCTACTTTGCTATATGAGTGAAAGAATCTTCATGCTAATTAGATTTCAGGTTAGAGCTCTGGAAGCAGGATTTGCAGTATGGATGGAGTTCTATAAGAATATTTATTACAATCAGTTGACTCAACCTTACAGTCACTGCACTTTTTGTTCGTCACATTGGTTAATTTTCTGAATTATGTTCAGTTATTGAATCAGTTAGAGAAGAAATCCTTTAATCTTTGCATTGGGCTTTTTTCCTTTTCTTCCTCATAATCCTGTAAAGAATTCTGGAGAAGGGCTTATTTGGTGGTCTAGGGGGTAAGTCTCAGTGCTATCAACTGCTGCGGCCTGAGTTTGGTCCCTGGTCAGTTTGCTGACCATGGTACTGCAAACCTCTCCTGGCTTGCCTGCTCTGCTCCCCATTCTCTCTGGTGAATACTTCTGTGCAACATCCCAGTTTTTATATGCATAAATAAATCTTTTTTTAAAAAAAGAATTCTGAAGATTGTAGCAATGTTTGGTGGCAACCAAATTTTGATGCCTGTGGGGACAAAGGGTAGAGATGGATTTTTGTTGTCTGACATTTTGGACAGTGCATTGGCACTGGATTCTCCTATGTTTCTCTTCGGTGGATTTTTAAGATAGTTCCACTATCGTGTCATTTCATTGTCTTTTCAGGATCTTTTATATAGACGCACCAAAGCCCTCATTGACTATGAGAACTCAAACAAAGCACTGGATAAGTCCCGGTTGAAAAGCAAAGATGTCAAGTTGGCAGAAGCACACCAACAAGAGTGTTGCCAGAAATTTGAACAGCTTTCTGAATCTGCAAAAGAAGGTTGAGTGGCCTTTTTTCTTTAGACTCTCTTTCTCTCTCTTTTTTCTTTTTATTTTGACATATTTCAAGCTATAAAGGAAGTTAGCTAAAGAGTGCCTTCTTCTCTGTCACCTAGCATAGTGTAGTTTGCCCTTTCTGCTTTGTCATACATGTGCTCCCACGTGTTTTTAGGCACATGACCTTTATATTTTTTTAGTCACTTGAAATTGTTGTATACATACTGTTCTCCTTTTATCCCTAACAACTTTGTTGAGTATTACCAAGAAAGATAGCATCATTCTCTTTCATCCCTACAGTCTGACTGTTGATTTCAGTCAGCTTGCAGAGAATATAGTCTTATCATCTGTGTTCTCATTTTGATCATCTCAAGTACAACCTGTGCTGTCAGTTTGAACCTGATACTACTGTATTTGGCTATCATAGCTCTAAGGTCTATCCTAGTTTGCACTCATAACTTCAGACAAAAAAATAATTAGCCTTTTTCGAACACCATAATCTCTTTTCGAATTTAGTATTTCATGATTAAATTCTGGCTATGTCATTCCAACAGACTAAAACTACCTCTTAAACTGTAACATATGCAGATAGATGTTGCCCATCTTTTCCTTTAGCCACTGATCAGTAGTGGGTGGGGAGAAATTTAAAACCTTGGCCTATATTTTATATCTCACAGTTACTAGCCTGTGTCAGTGTTTCTTTACTCCAGTGGCTGTATTGCAGAAAGTCAAAATTCCCCCCTTTCCCTGCTCTAGTATTCCCTTTCTGAGTCAGCATGTGGCATCATCCTGTGTATGCACAAGCCTGCCTTACTCCCACATTTCCTTTATCATCTTTATTAGTCATGGATTCCCATTTTTGAAAGGCTTCTGGAATTCATTGCTATGCTAATTTGAAGCTCATAATGTCCAAGCTTAGCCAGTGGAATTTAGTAGTTGCTTATTACACACCACATTGTTTTCAGTAGTTAAATATTCTGTGTTAATCTTAGACCTTTTTTACTTTTTATAATTGCTATTCTAGGACAGCTTCTATTTTTCTTAGGGACTGTGAACCAAGATTTGGGTGCTGAATGCACTCATAGGTTGTGCCTACTTGGCCCTTGAGCTGCCAGCCAGAAAAGGTTCTGTACAAATATACAGAGGACTAGATGCAGTTTGGGATATATCTAAGCTCACTGTCCGGTAGTTCTCAGGGGTTCTGAAACATGCATAAGCCAAAAGTATAGGAATGTGTCGTTAAGATATGGATATAGTGGTACTATACTGATTGTGCCTCGATCACTTAAATTTTTCTGCCTTCTAAAAATTGAAGTTTTTGTTTTTGTGGAAAAAAAATCTTCATTTTAAAGCTTCTTTTTCTCAGTTTTTTCCCTCTGGTTAGGCATAGCTGGAAATGTCCTGATAATAGCAAAGAGCAATGGAGTTCTGATCCTTTATTGTGCTTTAGGTCCATTTAGGATCCTACTGTCCTACCTGCAAAGCACAAAGCTTTTTATGGAAGGTTTTTGTGAATGTCTTGAACATACGCACATGTACCTCTCTTGGGTTCTTTCAAAGGACCCTCCTTGCTACTCTGTTCTTAAACCCATGGCCTGTTTTTGAGAGTTTATTTCATATTATAAGGGAAAGAACCAATTTCAAAACTGAGTTGGAAATCTTAGGATACTTACATAGACCAGTTTTAGTGACCGACACTTTAATGGAAAAGTCACCGAGCTTTTTAATAGTGCCAATTTGGTTCTGACTTTTGTCTAAGGTTTGTTTTAGCTTTATGCTCTTCAAAATTTAAGCCTGGGTGTATGAAATTTGAAATTACAGTATTCTGTAGAAAACTGAGATAAATGGGTCTTAACCTGTTCTCTTTGGCCAAAGTTCTTGGTAAGTTTTGTTACTGATCTGATTAGAGTCCATACAACTTGCCAAAATAAAATGGGCATAGTGGAATTGATGGTGTGTACAGGCCTAGAAAGAGGAGAGCTTCACATCTTGGAATAGGTATTTAATCTAGTATATCAGGGTAATGTTAACACACCTATTTAAGGATATTTTTGTTAGTGTTTTTTTTTTTTTTTGAAAATTGTTTATGCATACAGAACTGTGGTACAGGCCAGAGGTACAGGGGCAGTGAGAGGATCCACCAGAGACAGAGTGGGGTCAGGAGAGGTCTGCTGCACCATGAGGATCACCTCTGGGACAGGGATCAAACTCTTGCTGAAGTGGCTTTAGCTTTTTAGTGCTGTGCTTTTACCTGCTGTGCCACTAGCGAGGGCCCACTGTTTACTTTTTAACATGAGACATGCATTGTGTTTCTGTATAGCTGTTAGACAAGAGGTTAAGATTGTTCCTGAGTACACCCAAGTAGTATCAGCTTGATCCTAGGAAGGTTTTGACCAAAGGGCACAGGGAGTTTTAAGTTTGTAAGTTTTATAGAAGTATCAGTTTTTCTGTTTATCCTAATTTCTAATAGGACATTAATCCTTAATTTTATCAGAAGAAATAGCAAAGGCTAAGAGTTAAAGGTACATTTCCTACACATAGCCATAAAAAGTTGTATGGACATGAGAGTGGCAGTTTTCATAGTTACAAAGTAAAAGCAAAAACCATTGGGCCTCCCAATGGTGCAGGTAAGGTCTTAGTGCTTGCTATCAAGCTATCATCAGCCTCTGCAGCATGAGTTCCATCCTTGGCTAGGGAGCACAAATGGCACAGCAGACCTCTCCTGTCTCATCTGCTGCTCCCCTCAGCAGTGTCTGTTCTGCTCCCCACTCTGTCTGAATCCTCTTAAACCCCCCAGCATACCTCTGGACTACACCCAAGTTATTGCACACATAAATAATAAAAATCTTTTCACCAAAGAAAACAAAAGCCTTTAGTGCAAGTATGTGACATTTGTACCGAGAGGTTAAGGGAAAAGCTGCTCATCCCGATCTCTTTAGTGGTCATTGGCTATTCTTCAGTTTTTAATGCTTGGTTATTGGATTGGTGCTGCTCACTTTTACAAGCAACGGTAAGAATGTCAATATAATGTCCCTTACTATACTACAGTTTTAAATTGTCCAAACCATGGCCCAGTTGTCAGAGATAATTAAAAATAGAGAAAAGATGATGGTACAGCACAAGTTTTAGAGATTTTTTTTGTCAAAAGTTTTTGGAAATTAGTGAAAATTGTTAAGTTTTCTTGGAAACTTTCTCCTATAGAACTGATGAACTTCAAGCGAAAAAGAGTGGCAGCGTTTAGAAAGAATCTAATTGAAATGTCTGAACTGGAAATAAAGCATGCCAAGGTAAGTGTTCTTCCAATTAGCCTAGAAAAGATAGAGGGAAACATTCTCCATTTTTCAGGTACATATTACTGTGTACTGAGGATGTTACAAAAATTTTCGGTGTCTAAATCCACCCAGTTAGAATTTCTGAGGATAGCCCTTGAGTAATTACTAGATTGAGCCAAATTGGAGCCCCAGAGTGCTGTCCTGTCTGAGAAAGCTTTTTGGCTGCAGGGGCTACAGAAGGGGGAGACCCTTTGGAGAAGGGGGGTGCCACTCACTTTCAGCATTAGTTAAAGCAAAATAACTGAACATTTGTGTGTATTTGAATTCTTTTGACTACAACAGATAATTACTTTAAATCAGAGTTCTTTGGTGTATGACCTTTTAATTGTTTTTAAGTAATATCTTCACACCCAAACTGTTATGTATGTTAACCAAGTTTCTATATTTAAAGTGAGTACTTTATGGCAAAATCCTATGAATATCTCTGTTCTTGATGATGTGCCTAATTTTTAGGAACTTTTTATCTAGGCTTTTTGAAGGGTTTTAGCTTCTTGTTTATATGACCTTTAAATCACAGTAAGCAGAAATGTCACATTGGGGCAGAGGTGCTGTGGGTTGGTGACTAGCTCTTTAGCTGTAGGCCCATACCCTCTGAGGGAGAGGATTTGCCAAAAAGAAATTGGGGTGAAAGCAGTTTAAACCCATCCTGTTATTATGAAGACAAGCATGGACCTGGTTTTAACTGGTTTCAGATCTTTAGTGAAAAGCTTAAGTTGATAGGTTTGAGTTTAACTCTTAGTAGTAACTACATATGAAGTCTTCAACTTCTTTCTAGCCATTCTTTGATAATGCCTTAACTTCCATTCTCCCTCCAGAACAATGTCTCCCTCTTGCAAAGCTGCATTGACTTGTTCAAGAACAACTGATCTGCCTTGTTCTGCTGTTCCTCTGAAGGATACATGTGGAAGAAAGCCAGCATTACTTGCACTTAAATCATTACCACAGATTTCTTACTTTTGACTTTGGTTTAAAATTATGTGAATAAATATTTGATTTCTAAAAATCTTAACTCTTAACCATGTTGGTTTTAAAATGTTCCTATTGCATGTTATTTGGACATAACTAATATTCCTTGTGCATTTAATACCTCAGAGTGGGCAGAATCCAAATACTGGATTCTGTAATTTGTGTTTGGCTATTTAGAAAAGGTGCAGGAAAAATGTGCCTTCTAAAAACAAATAGAAGCAATTATTTGGCACAGGTTGTCTCACTGTTGTCATGTGCCCATGGCCCTACAAACCAGTTACTTAAAGGCAGGTGCCGATTTCAACAGCTATTTGATAACATTCCATTCCTTAATTAGGCAAATTTCCTCCTCCTTACTCATGGCTCCTTACTCACCTCAAGTGTTTATACTGTAATAAGGGTAAGAAAGTTTCGTTTATCTTTATATACTCTTTTTGCAACTTCATTTTGTAGTTGGGATATAAATATTTGAGGGGAAAAGAAGCATCCTGGGCATAAAAACAAATGTGATGTACTTTAGAAGATGGACATATCTAACATTTAAGATGTGAACTCCCTCCATAATGGTGGGTATGTGTGCGCGTGTTTGGATTTTTTAATAAAAATGTATAATGAATTAATCATGCTACCATATGGAGTGTTTCTATGACAAACAAGACCAGTTAGACCCCAGGACTGCCAGTGTAGCTAGCTTTTCTCCCTTCTGAACATTCTGTTTAGATTTGGGTTAGCCTGCTCATGAGTAATTTGGGTCAGTATTTTTGTCCAACTGAAAAGATACTGCTGCCCTTGTGTCAGTCCCTTTGTCGGTGGTGACCACAGTGTCTTCCAGGTGTGTCCACTGCCTGTCCCCACTCCATGAATTGTCTTTAAAAGTTTCATGGTTTAGGAGAATACTTTGAGACTTAAAAACTGTCTACTCGTCATTTTTAAACCCCTATTTAATCAATTGCGAGTTGTAGCAGAGTTGCAAAGGACATCTGAACTATAGGGAACTTCATAAACTGTTATAGGCTTCCCAGCCAATACAAGTGGCTGAGGTTTAAATAGGTCAGACATACCTTTTTTCCATATAATATACATTGGGGAAGTATATTCATTGAGAAATGAATGAATATAGGCATAGAACACTG